CTCTATATGTGTATGTTTGTATTGCTGTCTGTTCATATATATGTATATATGTGTGTGTGTGTAATATGTATATATATATATATATATATATATTACAATATATGATTGTAATATATATCCAATATATATATTGGATCTATATGTGTATGTTTATATATATATATATATATATATAAGCAGTTGCATTTTGACTCTTCTATACAGAAATAAGGTATATTTGCATTTAAAAGCATTCACTCGTAAGAACTAATACCAGTTTCTACTTTTAAATAGAAATTCATGCGTATGGTTATAAGAGACCCATTATTATTATTATTATAGGAATATTCTAAGCGGAGTACCAACTGAGGATCGAACGCACTACACACTCACAATTTATCTAGCGAGACAACCTTGTTAACCATTACACCACATCGAAGTGCTCATGCATAGTTATATGTATTTGATGATTTTTCTAAGCGTAGTTTAGACGTGGTACAAGGCCGAATGTTTTGAGCATCCACTGATGATCGAACTCACTTTTCAGTCGTATTTGATTAAACTGAGGCAAGCTTGTTAACCAATACACCACATCGAAGTGCCCCTGCATAGTTATATGCATCTGATGATTTTTCTAAGCGTAGTTTAGACGTGGTACAAGGTCGAAGGTTTTGAGCATCCACTGATGATCGAACTCACTTTTCAGTCGTATTTGATTAAACTGAGGCAAGCTTGTTAACCAATACACCACATCGAAGTGCCCCTGCATAGTTATATGCATCTGATGATTTTCTAAGCGTAGTTTAGACGTGGTACAAGGCCGAAGGTTTTGAGCATCCACTGATGATCGAACTCACTTTTCAGTCGTATTTGATTAAACTGAGGCAAGCTTGTTAACCATTACACCACGTCGCGGAGCCAAATCCACTATTATTTTGATTACTATTGGATTCTATTCGATCTCACGAGAGACCTAGTGACAGATTATTTAAATATTTTAACACTGATATAAATATTCATGTTGTTGTTGTTGCTATTATTATTATTATTATTATTATTATTATTATTATTATTATTATCGCGTTTAATAATGTTCCTGAAATATATTGTTTATAGTTTAAAGGAAAATAATTTCAAAATGCCAAAGATCTAGCCTCGATAAATGTAAAATGAACTCGTGAATCTGCGTTGATTTCGCAAGCAGAATTAAGAGGGAAAGAGTTTCGAATCTGAGGATTATAAAGAGTAACAGAAGGAGTGACGTGGGGAAAGGAAGAGGAGAAGCGTGAACAATAGATGAGGAATATTTGGTGATGGCCCGAGCTAAACATTTCAAAAAAGAAGGGAGAAACGTGACAGGCGAGAAAGGGAAGAGCATAAATGTGAGATAAAACAACAACAAAAAAAAAATAGATCAGTTTGATAACGTTAATAAAAAGAAGAAAGCGATGGGCTTTCGATAGAAGGGAATAAAGAGGTAGTGGGAGGAGAGAGGAAATTCGTTAAGAATTAAGGGAAAGAAAGGGAATAAAAGGAAGAAGGGAGAGTTAATGGGAGCTAAATGAGCGTGAAAAAATAAAAAGGGATAAAGAAAAGTAGGGAAAGGTAGTGGGAGGTAAATGAGTAAAAAAAAAAACTGAAGTGGTTAAAGAAAAAGGGAGTGGGGAGAGTCAGTTGGAGTTAAATGAGTAAAAAAATGAAAGGGATAAAGAAAAAGAAGCCGAAAGAGAGAGAGAGAGAGAGAGAGAGAGAGAGAGAGACCAAATAAGCGCGAAAAAAAAGTCGGGGGAAATAGTGGACGTCAAATGAGTGAAAATGAAAGGGATAAAGAAAAGGAAGGATTGAGCGAAAGAGGAAGAGAGAGAGAGAGAGAGGGAGGGAGGAAGGAAGGAAGGGAGCCAAATGAGCGTGAAAAAAGGTAGAAACGAAAAAAAAGAAAGCAATTGAAATAAGAAAGAAAGAAGATAGAGAACGAATGGAACGAACGAGCGAAAGAAAGAAACAAAGAAAGAAACAAAGAAAGAATGAAAGAAAGAAAGAAAAAAGAAAGAATGAAAGAAAGAAAGAAAAAAGAAAGAAAGAAAGAAAGAAGAAATGATCGAAGCAAATTAGTAGTCCATTCAGCGAGAGATATAGTAAAAATAGTTGCGGTCATAGCAGCAGTTATAGTAGCAGTAGCAGCAAAAGCGGTTGCAGCAGCAGCAACATAGATTTTACATCAAGCGGTGAATGTGGATGAAGAGAATGGTGAACATAGTGGGGGGGGATAACCTGTTCAAAACCCTGAAGAGCGAGAACTGAACACTGACGCGAAAATGAAATATAAAGGTACGCACCAGAGAGACATTAAGCTTATAAAGAGAGTATGTTTCTTAAAATAGCAGAACGACAAATAGAGATGCATTCGGTGTTGAACAGGGTGGAAAGAGACCTGCTGTAAGATTACATGTCAAAAAGGAAAAGAAAGAGGGAAGATTTGAGAATGAACAACACCTTCTGATAGATAGATAGATAGATAGATAGATAGATAGATAGATAGATAGATAGATAGATAGAAATGAATCGAATGAGGTAGACAATACAGAGGTTGGCACATATGAACAGATAGATAGATAGACAGATAGATAGATAGACAGATAGATAGAAAGAGATAATATGTTGTAACCAGATATGATCAGATAGATAGATAGATAGATAGATAGATAGATAGATAGATAGATAGATAGATAGATAGATAGATAGATAGATATGAATCAAATGAGGCAAACAGATATGACAATACAGAGGTAGGCACATATGAACAGATAGATAGATAGATAGATAGATAGATAGAAAGAAAGAGAGATAATATTTTATAGCCAGTTATGATCAGATAGATAGATAGATAGATAGATAGATAGATAGATAGATAGATAGATAGATAGATATGAATCAAATGAGGCAAACAGATATGACAATACAGAGGTAGGCACATATGAACAGATAGATAGATAGATAGATAGATAGATAGATAGATAGATAGATAGATAGATAGATAGATAGATAGATCTGGACCAGTTGAGATAGATAGATAGATAGATAGATAGATAGATAGATAGATAGATAGATAGATAGATAGATAGATCTGGACCAGTTGAGATAGATAGATAGATAGATAGATAGATAGATAGATAGATAGATAGATAGATAGATAGATATGAATCGAATGAGGTAGACAGATATGACAATACAGAGGTAGGCACATGTGAACAGCTCGATATATAGATAGAAAATGACTATGAAGATGAGCTGAGAGAAAGATGAATTAGCAAGAGGCAAAGAGAAATAGGATCATAGAGGTGGAGTAACTTCAAGAGAAAAGTAGACAAAAGATTGAGGAGGAAAGGAGGGAGAAAGAGAAAGAAATCCATCAAGTTTCGTCGATTGAATCGCGGAGGGGTAAAAATGAATTGAATAAACAAACCGAGTAAAAGTGAGGGAGACAAGTGAGAAGGAGGTAGCGGTAAACAGCGAGATGGGAAGGAGAAGTGAGAGGAGATGTTGCAGATGAATATTGGGAAAAGCAGCAAGCAAGTGAGTAAGGAAGAAAAGAGTGTTAGTGGCAAAAGAGAGAAATATAGCATCCAGAAACAGGGGAGGGATAGAAAGATAAAAAGGAGTGGCAGTATTAGGAAGGATTGTATAGGAGAAAGAGAAAATAAAGAGGAGGAGAGGTTGTAGGAGGAGGAAGGAGGTGCCGGAGAAAGGGATAAGGAGAGAGAGGAAGAGATATATTAAGGTGTTGTCTGAGGGAAAGGAGGAGAAAAGGCTAAGTGAGTCAGTGAGTGAGAGAGCACGGGCGAGGGGCGGTAAAGAGGAGTTGAGGTTCGATTATAAACGTCATCGAAGCTATGTCAGTGGGCGTTTCACAGAGCGGATAGAAGCAGGTCGATAACATAACAGACTGCTCAACTCTGCACAAGGTACATAACGCAAAAAGGAGGAGAGCCAACGATAAGGGAGAGCAAGGAGGGCCACCGATGATAACGTTTACTCTCCGTTAAGCGTGAGAAGATAAATGATTTTAAAAGGAAGAAAAAAAAAAGAAGAATCCGGCAGTGTATAATTCAAAGAGAAGATACAAAAGCGAAAAGTGACAAGGCTACTTTGGAATGGATTTAACAGGGTAGGATAAGAGAATTTCCGATAAAAATGAAAAAAAAAAAGAGGGAAATTAAACTGAAAAAAAAAACATTTAATTGAAATTTTGATAAAAGAATCGTCTGCCTATGAAGAGAAGAAAGATAACGGCGGGAATTGAGGTTTCCAAGGAGCTTGGCAAATTAAAGAACACTATACAACGAAATATATTTGAATGTGACCACTCGTAATCTTATAATGGAAACCAAGATATCTCAACGAATTTATGAATCTCCAACGAAAAAAAAAAGAAAGAAAAATAATCGACATTTTTATCTTGTATCACATTGAAAAGAGACGTAAGCATAGGAAGATGAAATATCGAAATATTAATTTTTACTCTCACTGGCAAAATCTGCTTATACATATATATATATATATATATATATATATATATATATATATATATATATATATATATATATATATATATATGTTCGTGTACAGCTCAGTCGATACACAAGTGAACGCAGATCTTTAAGAAGACTCCGTACATCACATTCGCTTGTTGATGACGATCTGTCTAGGGATTATTTCAACAATTTTATTTCCCCCACCATTTTTTTAAATTCTTTTTTGTCTCTTTTTCAAATGAACTCGTATTATTTAATGTCACAAGCATATGGATAATTGTAAGCTTACACTGGAAGCTTAACAAAAAGAGAAAAAAAAAAATTAAAAAATGAAACGGAATTGAAACCATTGCCTTCGCATCACCAATAGTGAAGAAACCGACTCTTGGAGAAAAAAAAATGAAAAGGAAACGGTAGAAAGAAAATAAGAGAGAAAGAGAGAGAGAGAGAGGAGAACGGATTTTCAAAGACAATGTGGAATATAATCAA